ACTGGTCCTGTAGCACGTGCCTGAGTATTCCTTCTGAGCAAAACGCCAGTCTGGCTTGAGTTTGTAGGATTTTATCAGCTCTCCAATGTGAAATGTCACTGTAAGTTATGGAGTCCTTCCAATGATCAGTAATAACACTTGTGGCCTGACACAAACAGAGACCCTAACTAACTATAGGCCTGAACTCAGTCTCTAGGCGCCAACACTGAAATGAGGTGCGTGCATGATCTTACTGACCCGGGTCTGCCTTGCATCCGCTGGTGACTCTGAACAGAATAAATGTCTCTCCAACAAGCATGCGGTATCGCAGTGTATGTTGCTTTGTTCCTCTGCTCTCATCAGCATTCCTGGCAGCAATCTTCCTTTCTCTGAACAAGATCAGGGTCTTGGATATGATCAGCTTCACTTCGCTGCAGCTCTGGTTACTGAGGGATGTTCTCACACCTGAATGCCATCAGATTCTCTGCTCACATGGCTCCTTCAGTCACCATCCTCTGAACATGGCTTCTCCCTCCTCTTCCTGTTCTCTCTAAACTCTGTGTGAAAACCCCACCTCTTCATGAATATAGAAATATATATGAATGTGAGTTAGGGACCTTAGATTGTACGCCCCTTGAGGGTTAGGGACTGATGTGAATGTACAATATATATGTAAAGCGCTGCGTAAATTGATGGCGCTATATAAGTACCTGAAATAAATAAATAAGTCTGAGGCTGTTAGAAAAACAGTGACATCTTGTGCAGCGGGGTCGGGGTGTGATATTTGGAGAAAGTTCACCTTCATTTTTCACGTAAAAGTAAACTTGCCCTTTCAGTATGGAGATTCTGGGCTTTCCTTTAGTCATGTAAGCCAGAAAGCCCCCCCCCCCCCCCCCCCCCCCCCCCCCCCCCCCCCCCCCCCCCCCCCCCCCCCCCCCCCCCCCCCCCCCCCCCCCCCCCCCCCCCCCCCCCCCCCCCCCCCCCCCCCCCAGGACCCCCTTCCCCAGTATACAGTGATGGAAATGCGTATTTGCTCCCCGGCTGATGTTGAATGTTCGCCCCTCACAAAGAAATGATCGGTCTAACAATGGAATGTTCGTTGTAACACTGAGAGACAGAATACAACAACAAATTCAGCAGAAATGCGTCTAACAAATGATGACTGATCTGCATGTTCATGAGGGAAAGAAGGATTTGATCCCCTTCACAAAACATGACTTAGTACTTGGTGGCCAATCCCTTGTTGGCAATCACAGAGGTCAGACATTTCCTGGAGTTGGCCCCCGGGTTTGCACACATCTCAGGAGGGATTTTGGCCCACTCCTCTTGGCAGATCCTCTCCAAGTCATTAAGGTTTGGTGGCTGACGTTTGGCAACTCGAACTTCCAGCTCCCTCCACAGATTTTCAATCGGATTAAGGTCTGGAGACTGGCTAGGCCACTCCAGGACCTTAACTTCTTGCCGACCGCGCATAGCCGAATGACGGCTTCACCGCGTCCGGCCAGTTCTGAGTGGACGTCATATGACGTCCTCCCAGAACGCGCTCTCCTGCGCGCCCCAGGGGGCGCGCACCCGGCGATCTCCGTGATCGCTGTGTCCTACGGACACAGCTGATCACGTGATGTGGTGAAAGGCCAATCCCACCGGCCTTTTACCACGTGATCAGCGGTGTCCAATGACACGCTGATCACAGGGAAATGCAAGTGCCGGTTCTCGGCTGCACTTTCCTCACGCTGTCAGATCGTGAGGAAAGTACTGCCGAGAACCGGCAGTTGTCAGAGCGGGGATCGGCACCGATCATCAGGGCACTGATGATCAGTGCCCTGATGATCGGTGCCCAGCAGTGACACCCGCATGTTCCGCCCAGCAGTGCGCCCACTAGCCCCGCCCCACCTGTGCCACTCTGCAGTGCCCCCACCTGTGCCACTCTGCAGTGCCACCTACCTGTGCCACTCTGCAGTGCCACCCACCTGTGCCCACCAGTGCCACCCACCAGTGCCACCCACCTGTGCCCACCCACCAGTGCCACCCACCTGTGCCCACCCACCAGTGCCGCCCACCAGTGCAGCCCAGCAGTGCTGCCAGTCAGTGCCCAGGGGTTGTGCCAGTCAGTGCCGCCAGTCAGTGCCCAGAAGTGATGCCAGTCAGTGCCGTCTATCAGTACCCATCATCAGTGTCATCTATCAGTGCCGTCTATCAGTGCTGCATATCAGTGCCGCCTATCCGTGACCCCTAATTAGTGCTGTCTATCAGTGCCGCCTATCCGTGCCACCTCATTAGTGCTGCCTATCAGTGCCCTTTAGTGCCGCCTATCAGTGCCCATCAGTGCCGCCTATCAGTGCCCATCAGTGCCGCCTCATCAACGCAAATCCGTGAAGGAGAAAAAATACCTGTTTGAAAAATTTTATAAAAGAAACAAACTTTTTTTTTTTTTTTCAAATTTTTTGCACATTTTTAATTTATAGGGCAAAAAGTAAAGCGCCCAGTGGCGATTAAATACCACCAAAAGAAAGCTCTATTTGTGAGAAAAAAAATTTCAAAATTTCATATGGGTACAATGTTGCATGACCGCGCAATTGTCAATCAAAGTGCGGCAGCGCTGAAAGCTGAAAATTGGCCTGGTAAGGAAGGGGGTATAAGTGCCTGGTAGGCAAGTGGTTAATGTGCTTCTTCTTGAGCCGCTCCTTTGTTGCCTTGGCCGTGTGTTTTGGGTCATTGTCATGCTGGAACACCCATCCATGACATATTTTCAATGCCCTGGCTGTGGGAAGAAGGTTCTCACCCAATATTTGAGTGTGCATTGCCCCGTCCATCGTCCCTTTGATGTGGTGCAGTTGTCCTGTCCCCTTAGCAGAAAAACACCCCCAAAGCAGAATGTTTCCACCACCATGTTTCACAGTTGGGATGGTGTTCTTGGGGTCATAGGCAGCATTCCTTCTCCTCCAAACACGGCAAGCTGAGTTGATGGCAAAGAGCTGGATTTTGGTCTCATCTGACCACAACACTTCCCACCAGTCCTCCTCTGCATCATTCAGATGTTCAGTGGCAGACTTCAGACGGGCCTGGACATGGGCTTTCTTGAGCAGAGGGACCTTGCGGACACTGAAGGATTTCAGTCCTTGTCGGCGTAGTGTGTTACCAATTGTTTTCTTGGTGACTGTGGTCCCAGCTGCCTGGAGATCATTGACAAGATCCTCACGTGTAGTTCTGGGATGATTCCTCACTGTTCTCATGATCATTGACACTCCACGAGGTGAGATCTTGCATGGTGCACCAGACCTAGGGAGACTGACACTTGTTTTGTGTTTCTTCCATTTGTGAATGATTGCAACAACTGTTGTCACCTTCTCACCAAGCTGCTTGGCAATAGTTTGGTAGCCCAGTCCAGCCTTGTGTAGGTCTACCATCTTGTCCCTGACATCCTTGGACAGCTCTTTGGTCTTTGCCATGGTGGAGAGTTTGGAATCTGATGGTTTGATTGCTCCTGTGGACAGGTGTCTTTTATACAGGTAACACAATGAGATTAGCAGCACTCCCTTTAAGAGACTGCTTCTAATCTCAGCTTGTTACCTGTATGAAAAACACCTGGGAGCCAGAAATCCTGCTGAATGATAGGAGATCAAATCCTTCTTTCCCTCATGAACATGCAGATCAGTCATCATTTGTTAGACGCATTTCTGCTGAATTTGTTGTATTCTGTCTATAATATATTATTTTAATGTTTATAAATGGCCTCCCCGCCCCCCCCTGCTTGTGCGTGCTCCCTAGGAGCGCGCAGCACCGCGATCCGGTGCCCACTGTGTCCTCCAATCATTGTACAGGACCTCTGTGCGAGGTCCCGATCATGTGATCACTGATTGGCCAATCAGTGATCACATGCAGAGTAGTAAGCAAGATGTCACTTCTGAAATCATTGCTTACTACATGTGAAATCTGTGAATGATCACAGAGATCACATGGTACAGGGCTATTCACAACAGCCTTGTACCATGTGACAAGCTGTGACCAATCACAGCTCTCACAGTATTTCTCAATGGCTGCAAGAATGCAGCCAGAGAGGAGAAATAATTGCTTTTACAGCCTTTATGGGTGTAAAAGCAATCAGTGTAAAAAAATAAATAAATCTTCATCTCCCCCCACAAGTAGTACAGTGTCACCATGGTGACCGTGTACTACTAGAGTGACAGTATGTAAAAAAAAAACCCCATAAATAAAAAAAATTTAAAAAAAAAGTTTAAAAATCATAATTTTTGGTTATAAACTAATTTGGATTTTTTTTTTTTTTACTAAAAAGATGATGGGATAAATTTTGGCCAAGATTTATGATGAAATATTTACTTGCAAAATTTTATAAGAAAAACCCTTTTATTTCAAAATGTTTGGACTTTCATTTATATAGCAAAAAAAATAAAAATTCCAGTGGTGAATAAATACCACCAAAATAAAGCTTTATTTGTCTAAAAAAAAATGCTACAAGATTCATATGGGTACAGTGTTGCATGACCACCGGGGGGGGGGGGGGGGGGGTTAGTGTCTGGACAGGAAGGGGGTGGGAAAGTGTCGGGACCGGGAGGGGGTGGGAAAGTGTCGGGACCGGGAGGGGGTGGGAAAGTGTCGGGACCGGGAGGGGGTGGGAAAGTGTCGGGACCGGGAGGGGGTGGGAAAGTGTCGGGACCGGGAGGGGGGGGGGAAAGTGTCGGGACCGGGAGGGGGTGGGAAAGTGTCGGGACCGGGAGGGGGTGGGAAAGTGTCAGGACTTGAAGTGGTTGATAATTGTAGAAAATACTGTTGTTTTTTTTTTTTTTTTTTTTTTTTCTTCAAACATTTTTTAGTAATTTTTTGTTTATATGATAAAAATTTAAAAAAAATCCCCCAGTGATTAAATGCTGATTAGATGGTGATTTAAATCCCACCTGTTCTTTAATATCCTCTGCCCATTGCTTGTGCAGGCTGATCTATGATGGTGTTTTCGGCCCGGCATTCCTCATGTTCATTGGGATAACGTGTTCTTCCCTCTACAGGAACCTTCAGAAGCTCAGCCTTGTTGGAGACATCAGTATTTTGCAGCAGAATGGCGCCGTAACCAGCCCGTATTTAAATAAAGTGGATCCCGGGAGCAAAAAGATCAGACAGTAAGTGTGTGTGTGCGCTGGGGGTATCCATGCGTGTTATACTATCCCTATCACAGTAGTAGCTCCCTATTAATTATACACGCTGTATACTGTGACAAGGTTGCCAAACGCTCCTGCCCTCTTCACGCCGGCCGCACGCAAATGTGCGGCCTCCTGGCGTCTGGGCCTTGACGCTGAGCAGCCGCACATTTGCATGCAATTAAGAGCACGCTCCAGCACACGTCCGGTACTCACGGACAAATCCCAATCTTTCCATTGGGACATTACCCGATCATGTGACGGTGAATCTTGGCGGCGGTCACATGACTGTAAAACCCCGCCCCGCCTCCCGGCTTCTGACACCCTTAAAGGGTCGGGAGGCACTGGCGCCAAAGGGTTAAAGGGACACCGGGGAGTGCAGGAAGGGGTTGAAGTGAATTATTAATAAGTGATTGTAAGGTCTAAAATATTAAACAGCGGCCCCGAACCTCCTCTTCTGGGGTCCTTCAACAGCAGCCTTGGCTGCTCCAACTTCTCTGGGTGCCACCATAGGTAACCGATTCTTATTCGGGGGCACACGGGCGAGCTTGTTCCAGAGCCAGGATGTGTGTGTCTACAGACACACACAGCACGGCTCGGCTCTGCCCAATGCGGGCAGGATTTGATTGACAGCTAACCGCTCCCACTGCTGCTTCCATCCTGTGAATGCAGGGAGAGAGACGCTACAGATGGGCACAGTGCTTTGGGGGGGTCAGGTGAGTTTTTGGAGGTGGGGGGGGGGGGGGCGTGATACAGATCCTGTGACTTTCATTTTTTTACTTTAATGCAGGGGATGTATTAAGGAACAAAGCGTCATACTTTTACAAACCATTTTAAGGGCTTGGGGGTAACTTTAGTTTTTTTGCACTTTTGATCGGTAAAAAAAGACAAAACAAACTTTTTCCTCTCGCATAATTTTTTAGACAGGTTCTCTTTATTCAAATAAAGTGCAGCGCTTAAAATATCATCCGAAATAGTCCACATTGAGTAAATATTTTCAATGCCAACTAAACAGTATTAGTCCATAAGTGGCAATCTGTGCAAGTATAAAGTGCCTAACAGCAATGCTTCAGTGCTGGTGCTCCAGAATAGTGGGGTAAGAATACGTACTCACCTGATGCGTAATGTTAATACACATTAAATCAATCAGTGGAGGTCCCCTTTAGGAGTCGGATAAAAGCCAGGCCAAGGATAATCCTCTCTCTGGATAATGGTGGTGCCTCAGAAACTCCCAGGTGGTAAAGGATCCAGTCAGCCAGAGGTCCCCTTTAAAGGATGGGTGGGTGTAGAAGCCTGAGAGACAGGAAATCCCTCCTCTGGATACTGTGGTGGATCGGGTGGGCTCTATATATGAATTGCTCCGCATGGGGAGACATAAAAAAATGCCCGTAGTGTAGTAGTTAATGTAAAAATATTCCAGAATTTGCGAATTCAATGTAAAATGACACCAGGTTTAAAAACTGACTGACCGTCCTTAAGCAACGTGGCTTCGGCGGCGTGACGTCACGGCGTTTTGGCTCCTCCTGAGGTTTTCTTTGAGTTTTTTTAGACCCCTGATGTCTTGCCTGTCCTCCACTGAGGCTAACTGAGCTCCTTTAGCTTCTTCCCTGGATTTAGCGGCTGGGAAAAGTGACCGCTGAATCCGGACGTGATGTAATACGCAATGTTTCCAGGCTCTTAGTAGGTTGGAGAGATCGGCAAACAGTCATTCGCTGGCTTCTGTATCCGGCGGCTCTTGTCATGCTGGATCCAGTTCTGCAGATGGGAGCGTGGAGCCTGGAGCCTGGAAATGTGGCTGGGGTGGGGGGGGGGGGGACCTTGTGCCTTCCCCTTACCTTGTGCTGGTGCTAGGAAGAAGCTGGGGGGCAGAGCTGGGAAGTAGAAAGTACAGGGTCTGGAGGAGGGCCAGAGGAGGGCTTGACTCAGCTAGAGTTTGCTGAGTGCTGAGACTAGGGGAGGTGGAGACAATGAGGTGCACAGAGCTGCAGGATCTGTAGGAGGAGTTCTGTCCTGCCGACTGCTGGGGTAAGGTGGGGGTGGAGTCAAGGGGGGGCAGGGCCGCATTGGGAAATGTGCCCACCCCTTACCTTGTCCTGGTGCTGGAGGGCAGAGCTGGGAAGGAGAAGGTGCAGGGCCTGGAGGAGGACCAGAGGAGGACTTGACTCAACTGTCAGAGTTTGCTGAATGCTGAGACCAGGGGAGGTGGAGACAATGGGGTGCACAGAGCCGCAGGATCTGTAGGAGGAGTTATGTCCTGTCGACTGCTAGGGTAAGGTAGGGGGGGAGACAAGGGTGGGGTGGGGGGTGCTGCAGGGGCTTGGCAGGACACATGGTTTAGAGGCTGTCTTCTTTTCTTTGAAGCGCATTGAATCTGATTTCTTGTTGTAGGATCCAGCAGCTCTTCGAGGAGATTTTGGCAAGTAGCCGGCAGCTGAAGTGGCTGTCCTGTGGGTTCATGCTGGAGATAGTCACTCCCACCTCCTTGGCATCGCTGTCCAATCCAGTCGCCAGCACCTTAGAACATCTCAGTTTACTGGACAACCACTCTCCCGCCAACACCACCTTGATCACCGCCGTCGAGTTGGAGCGCTTCGTCAACCTGCGCTCCCTGGCTCTGGACTTTTGTGACTTCACGGCCGAAATGGCGAGGGTGTTGGCGAACAACAACCACGTGCCTTTGCATCGACTGTCCCTCCTGGTCCACAGCACTTCCCTGAAGAGCAAAACCCTGGACAAGATGCCGGACGACGAGGACTGGAAGGCCCTGACCCAGAACAGCACCAACCTCCGGGTCTACATGATGGCGTTCGATGTCAAAAGCGACGACATGCTCCGGATCTTGAAGCCCAGCATACCGCTCGAGCGGATTCACTTCGACAGCTACATCACCTGCGTGTCCGGGGCAGTGGTCGACCTCATATCCCGGCAATACGACGCATTCCTGACCCACTTCATCCTGATGAATGATGTCAACGACATGTCCGGCTTTCCAGATCTCAGCGACAACAGGAATGAAGATCCGCTGGTTCTATTGGCTTGGAGGTGCATGCGGCTGTCCCTGCTGGCTATCCATGGTGAGGATATACTGCTTGCATTCAAAACAGTGTGTGTGTGTGTGTGTGTGTGTATGTATGTATGTATGTATGTATGTATGTGTATATCTATCTATCATCTTAAAGGTGGGTTAAAACAAAAAAAACACCCCATAAAATGCACTTCACATCCTTTGAAGTCTAAGTGTAGCCAAAGTAAAACACAAGAATCAGCACAAAGGACATAACTTACAGTCAGGATGTGTCCCTTGTGCTGATGCCTGTTAGGTGAAATCTTTCTCCATCCATGCCCCGACTCCTGCCGCCATAATCTTTTGGGCCAGTTTTTCCGTGGGGCCCTTCTTTAGGTGGTGCACTGTCTCGTTAAGAGTGTTAGTGGTGAATGTAGCTGAGCGGCTGTGTAAAATCTGCCTCTAAGGCTTTAACTCTTGTTGGGTGAAATCTTTCTCCATCCATGCCCCCCCACCCATGCCACTGCAATCTTATAGTGCAACGGGAGTTAATGGAACTGTGGGCACGGTCACAGGTTCTCATCAAGAGTACCTAACTACTCCCACCCAGCTGCTCAATTCATAGATGCCATACTACAGCTTCTATGAATGAAAAACAGTCTATGAATGAAGGACAGGTGGATAATTGAAAGGTCTGTCCCCTCCATTCATTGATTCAGTTTCAGAAAAGGCAGGACAGGGGACTAGTAGCCAGCATCCTCTGTGGTCTCCTGCACTTGCAATGCATTGTTCTGCACTGTCTTGTCTGTATGGAGTCGGTCTTCTTGGTAGAGGCAGGGCTTTGCCTCTTCGAGTCAGAGTTTCCAGCAAGGAGAATGGTGAACAGCATGGTAGTGACATCACCAAATCTCCTGAGACTTCGCAGTCAAAGGCAGCAGTGCCTTAGATCTCATACTGCAGATATACAGCTATGAGGCTACAGAACACTAGCTGGTGGGTGTATGCGTTTCTAGTGTAGGGGTACCCCTTATGGTGGGAGAAAAGTACCTGGCACCTAATATTTAACGTTGGCCAGTTTTTCAGTGATGCCCTTCTTTAGGTGGTGCACTCATTAAGAGTGCTAGTGGTGAATGTAGCTGAGCGGCTGTGTAAAAACTGTGTCTAAGGCATTAACTCTGAGTGTCTAGGCACACTCGCATAAAGAAAGTGCTCTGCAATGTTTCAGGCGTTCCAGACAGATGAGGCCCCTCCCCCTGGAGATGTACAGTCAGGTCCATAAATATTGGGACATGGACACAATTCTAACATTTTTGGCTCTATACACCACCACAATGGATTTGAAATGAAACGAACAAGATGTGCTTTAACTGCAGACTGTCGGCTTTAATTTGAGGGTATTTACATCCAAATCAGGTGAACGGTGTAGGAATTACAACAGTTTGCATATGTGCCTCCCACTTGTTAAGGAACCAAAAGTAATGGGACAGAATAATAATCATAAATCAAACTTTCACTTTTTAATACTTGGTTGCAAATCCTTTGCAGTCAATTACAGACTGAAGTGTGGAACGCATAGACATCACCAGACGCTGGGTTTCATCCCTGGTGATGCTCTGCCAGGCCTCTACTGCAACTGTCTTCAGTTCCTGCTTGTTCTTGGGGTATTTTCCCTTCAGTTTTGTCTTCAGCAAGTGAAATGCTCAATCGGATTCAGGTCAGGTGATGGACTTGGCCATTGCAGAACATTCCACTTCTTTCCCTTAAACTCTTTTGGTTGCTTTTGCAGTCTGCTTTGGGTCATTGTCCATCTGCACTGTGAAGCGTCCAATGAGTTGTGAAGCATTTGGCTGAATATGAGCAGATAATATTCCCGAAACACTTCAGAATCCATCCGGCTGCTTTTGTCAGCAGTCACATCATCAATAAATTCAAGAGAAGCAGTTCCATTGGCAGCCATACATGCCCACGCCATGACACTACCACCACCACCATGCTTCACTGATGAGGTGGTATGCGACGGACCATGAGCAGTTCCTTTCCTTCTCCATACTCTTCTCTTCCCATCTCTCTGGTACAAGTTGATCTCGGTCTCATCTGTCCATAGGATGTTGTTCCAGAACTGTGAAGGCTTTTTTACATGTCGTTTGGCAAACTCTAATCTGGCCTTCCTGTTTTTGAGGCTCACCAATGGTTTACATCTTGTGGTGAACCCTCTGTATTCACTCTGGTAAAGTCTTCTCTTGATTGGTGACTTTGACACACATACACCTACCTCCTGGAGAGTGTTCTTGATCTGGCCAACTGTTGTGAAGGGTGTTTTCTTCACCAGGGAAAGAATTCTTCGCTCATCCACCACAGTTGTTTTCGGTGGTCTTCCGGGTCTTTTGGTGTTGCTGAGCTCACCGGTGCGTTCCTTCTTTTTAAGAATGTTCCAAACAGTTGTTTTGGCCACGCCTAATGTTTTTGCTATCTCTCTGATGGGTTTGTTTTGTTTTTTCAGCCTAATGATGGCTTGCTTCACTGATAGTGACAGCTCTTTGGATCTCATCTTGAGAGTTGACAGCAACAGATTCCAAATGCAAATAGCACACTTGAAATGAACTCTGGACCTTTTATCTGCTCATTGTAATTGGGATAATGAGGGAATAACACACACCTGGCCATGGAACGGCTGAGAAGCCAATTGTCCCATTACTTTTGGTCCCTTAAAAAGTGGGAGGCACATATGCAAACTGTTGTAATTCCTACACCGTTCACCTGATTTGGATGTAAATACCCTCAAATTAAAGCTGACAGTCTGCAGTTAAAGCACATCTTGTTCGTTTCATTTCAAATCCATTGTGGTGGTGTATAGAGCCAAAAATGTTAGAATTGTGTCGATGTCCCAATATTTATGGACCTGACTGTATATCTGGATCTTAGCAGTGTTTTGGGGGTGGGGAGGGGGTAGATGAGGCCTCCGCCTCCCCCTAGAGATGTATACCTAGTGCTGAGCAGTATCTTGTGCACAAGGTGAGGCCACACCCTCCCCTTAGGGGTATGTGCCTGGTATTGAGCAGCATCAGGGGGTACAGATGAGGCCCCTCCCCCTGGAGATGTATATTTGGATCTGAGCAGTGTTTTGGGGTGGGGAGGGGGTAGATGAGGCCCCGCCTCCCCCTAGAGATGTATACCTAGTGCTGAGCAGTATCTTGTGTAACAGGTGAAGCCACACCCTTCTCCCTAGGGGAGTATACCTGGTACTGAGCAGCATCAGGGGGTACATGTGAGGCCCCTCCCCCTGGAGATGTATACCTGGAGCTGAGCAGTGTCGGGGGGGGGGGGGAGGGGAAGAGACAGATGAGGCCCCGCCTCCCCCTAGAGATGTATACCTGGTGCAGAGCAGTATCTTGCATAACAGGTGAAGCCACACCCTTCTCCCTAGGGGAGTATACCTGGTACTGAGCAGCATCAGGGGGTACAGGTGAGGTCTCTCCCCCTGGAGATGTATACCTGAATCTGAGCCGTGGGGGGGGGGGTGGTGGTAGATGAGGCCCCGCCTTCCCCTAGAGATGTATACCTGGTGCAGAGCAGTATCTTGCATAACAGATGAGGCCACACCCTTCTCCCTAGAGGAGTATACCTGGTATTGAGCAGCATCAGGGGGTACAGGTGAGGCCCCTCCCCCTGGATATGAATACCTGAATCTGAACTGTTTGGGGTGGGGGGCGGGGTGTAGATGAGGCCCCGCCTCCCCCTAGAGATGTATACCTTGTGCAGAGCAGTGTCTTGTGCAACAGGTGAATCCTTACCCTTCTCCCTAGGGGGGTATACCTGGTACTGATCAGCATCTGGGGGTACAGGTGAGGCCCCTCATCCCTGGAAATGTATACCTGGAGCTGCGCAGTGTTTGGGGAGGGGGGGGGGGGAGAAATGTGGCCCTCCTCCCCCCAGAGATGTATACCTGGAGCTGTGCAGTGTTTGGGGAGGGGAGACAAATGAGGCCCGCCTCTCCCTAGAGATGTATACCAGAGCAGTATCTAGGGGTACTATATATATTTTTTTATTCCCCCCCCAATTTTATGGGTGTGTGCAGTTTTAGGGCTTGCCACGTTTGGGATCTATTTACTTGCTTCATCCTCATCTTTTTGATTCTGTTTGCCTTAAAATTAATTTAGTAATTTTTTTTTCCTGAAAATATGTGTTTGATAGATATCTTTGTGAATAGCATGTGACATAGAATGGTGGTAGCTGCAAGTTTAGTTTTTTTTTTTTTTTTTTTTTTTTTTTTTTTTGTTTTTTTTTTTCCTCCAGGGTCTCTGCTTTCAGAAAATATATTTTTTTCGGGGGGTACATTAATTTCTAGCTAAAAATGCAGATTTTATCACGTGTGCAGAAGGTGGTAAAAAAGAAAAGGCCCCGGTGGTGAAGTGGTTAATGCGGCATCAGTTGAGTGTGGAGGAGAGGTGAAGGTTGCGTCCCACATAGGACCGCAGCGCTCTCTGCAGGGATTCGCTGGGTGTAGTGTTGCGTCGTTACGCCGCATTGACACAGCTGCTTGGCTCAGGGATCTCATTGTCTCCGGTGGCAGCTGACGGCACATTCTCTATAGTGGAGTTCGCTGAGAAAATGCTGCCTGTGTCTGATATTCTGCAGGACATACAAAAGGCTTTGTAGCCTGAGATTGTGTGTATGGGGGCCGGCTGTCAGTGGTCACGGGGGGTGGGGGATGGGGGGGGGGGGGGGGAATGCACCGACATGATGGTTAAAGCTGTACTCCGGAATCAGCCAGTGACATGTGTCGTGTGCGCACAAATATTAGGCAAAGAGTAAACCGGTGACGCACACACCTAGTGCCTTATCCATGCACATGGCTGAACGGTACAAGCATGACTCTCACAGGCAGAGGCATGATGGGACTTGTAGTTCTGCAACAGCTGGAGGGTCAGTTTGACACCCCTGGGTTAGTGCATCCACATGACAGTGCTGACCAATGAGAAGCACATCTGAGCTGGCTTCCTCCGGTAAGATATCCTAGAACAGGGGTGTCAAACTGGCGGCCCTCCATTTGTTGCAAAAGTCCCATCATGC